GAATTAATTCCTGTCTGAACTAGAAAAACATACAATATCGATTTAAAAATTGCCAGTGATGGAGAATCTACCACGATCCTTGTTAAGTTGTTCCAATGATTAGTTATCCTCATTGTTAAAAATTAACATTTTATTTCCAATCAGAATTTGTCTTGCTTTGACTTCGGGACACTGGATCTTCATTTACCTTTGTCTGCTAAATGTGATGTATGCCTCAGAAAACCAATGAGGAAATTAGTAATTCTGTATTTAGAACAGGACTTGAATAAATAGTGTACAATAAATAAGGCATGCAGCCACACACTGAACAAAGAGAAAACAAAAATATTGAATAGATGTTAATTAAATATGCACTGAATGAGGCAGGAGTCAGTGGAAAATATAGTATGTGATCACACATTTAAAGACTTACTATAATGCATACACACAAAGGGACTAAATTGAGGTTGCACCGGCAATCTTTTTGAGTGCTTGGCTTTGCAACCTTCATAGTGTTCTTTTGATATGGTTTTTTGGAGTATAAGCCAGCATCACCACAGTCTCTCTGAAACATTAATGGAATTTACCCTCACAATGTCCCTGGGAAGTGTTATTACTCCCATTTATTTAAACAGTTGGGAAACTGAGGTTTTGGGAAATTAAGACTATGTCTACACTGCAGCTTGGAGTGAGCCTCCCAGCCTAGCACACGCTAGCTTTGCTCAAGATAGTGCACTAAAAATAGCAGTGTGGACACTGCAGCAGGGTAGGCAGCATCGGCTAACCATCCCAGTATAAGCCTACCCACATCCTCTAGTTCTGTATTCAGGTAGCTACCCTACCTGTGCCACAATGTCCATTCTGCTATTTTCCCCATGCTCGCATGCAGAGCTAGCATGTGTCTGTCTACCCGGGCTGGGAGGCACACTCCCAACTGCAGTGTAGACATTCCCTAAATGGCTTGCTGAGAGGGGCAGGCACCAAGTCTGTGGCAAAGCCAGGAATTTAACTAGGGCTCCTGAGTCCCAGTTCAGCACTTTACTCACAAGCCATCCTTCCTCCTTGCCATGATCAATTTAGCTGATCATACTTCTGTGTGAGCCAGTGCTTTGGCTCCTGGGACCTTATGTCAAGGACTTGATGTTCAGGTTCTAGATTCTTTTGCACATCTAGCCCTTTCCTAGTTGGCATCATCCTATGGACTATATGGTTATCCTCCATTCATGAGCAGAATGCCCACACAGGTCAATCAGAAGCAGTTCTCTGTATGGTGGAAGTCCCCTACATGAACAGCATGTGGTCTTCAGCTTCTGAGCTGCTCACATTGTACAGTTCTACCTTTAGGGTCCACCATAATTTAATTTTGCAGAAGGCCTCTGGTCTCAGCCCCTCTATATGTCTTAGCAATAAACTTTGATCTGTCGGGAGTCGTCTTTTTTTCCCTTCAGACATGTTATCTCTCTCTCTAGGGGTGCCCAAAGAATGGCCTGAGATTCGTTGTAGCTAGTCCTAAAATGCCTCTAAAGCTGTAATGGCAAGAGGAAACCAAAGTTGATCAAATGTAGGTTTTATTGTTGATGTACAGAAACAACCAGCCATTTCTATTCAGGAAGGAAGGTATCACCTCAGGGATGGCATTATGGATGTCTGCATTTATTTTACATAACTTATGCAAATTATATGTAAATTAGCCATGGCCCCCATGGCTCCTGGTACATTGCCAATGACTCTTTGACGTCACAGTGTTTGGTCATAGCTATAACTCTGAGCTCTCTTTGTTTTCTCTTAATTTCACGGTAAATCATAGTAGGATTATTATAGGAAAAGGGAACTTACAATTGTACACAGACTACTCTGGAAAATTCAAATTCAAAATTTATCAAACTAAATTCTGCTTTTATGCTGAACACTGCTCACTTTGGGACAGATTCTGACACCTTGTTCATAGTTAGTAGCACCGTGCTCCAGTGACTTCAATGACTCTGTGAAGTAAGGTGCTATATAAAGCACTGGGCTGTAGGTGCTGCTGTGTTATCCTGATAGTCCTTGACTTAACTGGACCAGAATCGGGCCCCTTTGGTAGCAAAATATATGTGTGTGCACTTTCCCCCCCAAAGAAAAGCTGCCATCTCCTTCCCTAAGATAAAAATGAAGCTTTGTATATTTTATTTGAAATCCACTGCGGGTGCTACCATCTGTGCCAGCAAGCACAATGTTCTGCCATCCTTAAAAGCAAGCTACAATTTGTGGTAATATAACTAGCATTTGACATGGTGCAGGGTTCTCCTTTCAACCCAATTTAATTATATGCTCTTTTTATATACTGAGGATGGCTACACGAACAGGATTGTTTTGCCTGGTGGAAAAAATGGCCATGACTTGTCATAGCGGGCTGGTTTATAGAGCCACTCATGTATAGTTAGGGCCCACTGCTTTGAAATTATGGTACTATAACAATCCTTTATTTACATATATTGCTGAAACAGTAAAAAGAGCAAACAGATTTCTTAACTAGAGACAGCTGAAATATCCCCTCTGGGCAGTTGCCTCCTCATTGAGGCAATAACTTATGCAAGTCTAAATAACTTCAGTGCCTGGATTCCAGACGTAAATTATCTTGACTTGAACCAGTTATGTTCTAATAATAAAATGGAGTCAACATTTGGAGCAAGTTAAATCAATAAAAAACGCAACTCCTACTCTCCCCATCTTGCTAACTTGGTGAATACTTGACCTAATTTATTATATATGGAATCTGAGTTAACGTTTCATCTTTACTTCCCAGGAATTCAATAATCTTGTTTAGCAGTTTCTCAAAAGCCACTGCCTCTTTCACTCAGAATGATTTCCTCTCCCCCTTTATTGCACGCTGCTTATTTTCTTTCCTTACATTCACAGGTAAAGACCTTACACAAACACATGAGCTGCAACATTTGTCTTCGTGATGCACATCGAAATCCCATTGCCATGCTTGGTGTTAATACTGAGATGCTTTGTTAATGCATGTGCTGTGGGTTCATTTCTTTTAACTATCTTTGCACTTTCTTCCATTGACCATACGTCTACAGCTTCCCTGACTCATCCTTGATCTTACTTGTTGTGAACCAAAGCAAAGTAGGAAGCACTGAGGTAAGTACTGGGATGGCAGCAGGGTGCTGTGGGCCAAATTAAACCTCCCACTAGCGGAGCTGTGAAGAAGGTACCTTGCACGAGCAAAGATGGCTGGAGGCCATTCAGCGAGTCCCTCCCATATGCTCAGGGAGCACAGACAGACCAGTTATGGCTGCCTTCTGTACAAGAGCACTAGGGAAAGCGCTTATAACCTCCTCCACGTGAAAGCGAAAATCCAGCTTCTGTGTTTTCTTGCAATACTGCTGAATAAGCTTGCTTTTTACAGAGGGAAGGACACCAGGGTGGGCAAGTTTCCTGCAGATTTTCTTCCATTTCTAAAACTGAATTTCACTCCAGTTGAACTATTTAATGTCCGTGCAGGGCTGGGACTAAGAAGCAATAAATAGATGCTAAGTAACATTATTACTAACAGGTGCTTGGAAAAGGTGCCAGACTGTTTAATAACTGGAATCGGAGCCCACAAAGACAAGGAAAGGCTCCACCCCTTCAGGTGAGGGAGGGGCTACTAATCAATAGAAGAAAGCAGGGATAGAAGTGCAGGTCACAGAGTCAAAACCAGGGCTCCAGAAGGGGCTGCCAAGCAGAGAACCCCAGGCAACACCCACATTTCCAAGGAGGAGTCCAAGGAGCCAGTGGATGCTGCATAGAGGAACCCTACCTAGACGTGTGACTGTATGAAGGACTGGAAAAAGGGCCCACAATCTCAGAGAACCATTTATGGAGGCGGCTGATGAGTAGGTCCTGGGACTTTGTAGGGCCACAGAAGAGGCGTGCATAGAGGTGCCAACCTGACAGATATGGAAAACAAAGCACCGAATTGTGCATGGCAGAAAAAAAGCTTCCTCATTTCTGTGCTGCAAACTCTGACCCAGAGGGCCCAGCCTTAGCAACAAGGAGGTAAATTTGTCTCCACACCCATTCAACACTCTCTCACTGACAGGACTGACAATGATACCAGTGTTTTTTATGATTTGGGCACCTGCTCGTTGGGAATTAGCTTGATGCTACGAAGCCCACTTCACACAAGCTGTCAAACTGCCACGAGACAGGAACAATTCACCTCCAATACAGGTGTAAGTCAAAACAATGACCTAAGGGCTTTGCCCCGTTACCAAGACCCAGAAGAGTTCAGATCCCCCGGGACTCTAATGCACATGGGTTTTGTCTGCAGTTTTATAACACTATAGACTCACAATTTAATATATAGATATGTAATCAAACTATGTACTCAGAAATGGATGACGTTGTTGTGGAAGTCTAAGTAACAATCTGTGCCAGCTTATACAGAGAAGTACAACCGTACTGTTCAATCTGTGATGGATATTAGGTACCACGATTTTTGTTTGCAACCTCTGTTGCGGTAAATGGATTTTGAAAGCCTCAGCTGAGCACTTCAGTAATTGTTATGCTATTGGTGTCTATATAAATAGGATTATAGTAACACCTAGTAAAAGACAATCTCCTCCTTGAATACTAATACAGTGAGAATGGGTGAGTGCCATTTAGTTGTTGTTTATGAAGCTGGCAGCTTTTATAAACTTTGCCAAACCTAAAAAGCTTTTATAGAGTTTGAGACTTTTCCAACATGTTGCTGCATTGAAAGACTTGTGACATAGACAAGGCGGGTGAGCTAAAATCTTTTATGGGACCAATTTCTGTTGGTGAAAGAGACAAGCTTTCGAGCTCTTCTTCAGCTCTGTGTAGCATGACAGCTTCTCTCTCTCACCAACAGAAGTTGGCCCAATAAAAGATATTACCTCACCCACCTTGTATCTCTAATATCCTGGGACCAACACAGCTCCAGCACTGCAATAGACTGAATGAAACAGACAGACATTGCCTCCCCCGTTTAAAAAAAAAAAAAGTAAAATGTAATTAAAGACATTTACCACCAGATGGCAAACTAGTACAGCTCCCTCCGTTCTGGCAAGGATTCCTCTCACATGCATCAGGGTACAGAACGCAGCCAAGCTTTAATTCAGTCAGGCCAACCACTTCTGCAAAGCTGCTACGCTTGTTTTGGAGCGGCAGTTCATTGTTATTCAGGATAACAGAATCCAGGCAGCCCTGAAAACCACTCAAGACCTGGGTTGTCCTCTTGTCAGTCAGGCTCCGGACATTATCCACTTGCACCAGGGCTCCAAAGTAGACCGAGCTATCTGTACTCAGAGTCTGGAAGTAGAGGGGGGCTTTGCGCCGCTCCACATAACTGTCATCAAGTGACAAGCTTGTGAAATTCCGATTGAGCTCCAGGAAGACTGAGTGCCAGTTCCCATCATTAACAGTCCTGCCAGAAATTCCCAGGATTCCTGGGCCACTTCCACAGTCCAACTGGAACCACAATTTGCCATCCACGATCTGTGAGGGTAAAAGCAAAAACCAAACCACTTAAAACATTGGTTTTACAGCACTTCTTTAATGTGTGTCCTTAAAACTGGTCTGATACTTTACACGAATACTGTGGTATATTGTAGCAACCATTCACAACAACACACAGACACACGTTACTGTTCATTAGCGGTAGCAGTATAAATAAGTTTCACACTACAGGAGAGAGAGCGTGATGGTGTAATTCAAGGAATGAGGCACTGGGCTGGGACACCTGGCATCTATTCCCAGCTCTCTCATGTGACTTTAGGCAAGTCACTTCATTTTTCTGTGCCTGTTTCCTCTCCCATCATGTGACTCTCTTGTCTATTTAGGCTGGAAGCTTTTGGGGCAAGGACGGTCATGCACTGGGTTTGATTCCTGCTTCCGACTCCTTGTGTGCTATTGGGGAAGTCACTTGATCCACCCTGTGCCTCAGTTCTCCATCTGTAAATCAGAGTTTACAGTTCCCTACATCAGAGGGGTTGCGAACATACAATCCATTGAAAATTGTGTGAGGGCCAGTGCATGTACATAAATAGTGACAAGTAGAAACCTATGCCTGGGTTTCCCTGAAGTTGAAGCTTGCCAGCATTGTGGGGAAGGTGAAGTTCTTGGTCCCCCAAATCCAGAGCACAAAGACTGGCTTCCCTGATTAGCTGTTTATCCAAAGGTTGTGAGTGTCACCTGAGGACCATGAGGAACTTTAAAATGGCTGACAGATTTGGGAAACATTTCCCTTGATGTGCTAACACATTCATTGGACCCACACACTTTTAAAACCTTTGTAATTGTTTTACTTTTATTTCTTACTAAATGTTGTCCTTCAAAGGCACAATCTTTTTGCTGTGAGGACACGCTACCATCTCATCTGGAACATGGTGATACAAGTGACAACCCAGACTCTGATTTAACTGCTGCCATTACTACTTCTTCCCTTAAGTCATACAAAATGGGCACCTGTAATAGAGATGTCTCAGCTTTCAGCTCTAGTGTAGCACAATGAAAGGAAAACAGCCTTCAGGCCTTAACTGATGTAGCATCAGGGATGAAACAGACAGTTGGCAGAATGAGGATGGTGCACTTACTCTTTTAGCCCTAGAGACCAGTGTTCAGATCTAGATTAGGTTACTGGTGAAAATAAGTTTGGTGATTTCTGCAGGTCCTTACTGTATACATTGCAGTTTTACTTTGAATAGCCTCTGCACTGTGACTCAAAATGGTTTATCACATTCTCTAAGCAGTAATTATCCTCACCAGCCCCATTTTGGGACAGCTCTGTCCCAGTGTTTATCCCCCACGTAGCGTGCAGACACTTTATACTTCCACAGCATTTCATTCAGCAGACACTCTGCTAAGAGGACTCTTCGTGTCAGTTTACATTGGCAGAAGCTGGCATCTACTCAGGCTGTATCTGGTCCATATATCTGGCCCACTATATCTATTTTACACCTGGGTAAACCAAGGAAGAATAGTTAACTGGGATGCCAAAGGTCAAAATGCAAACCATGGCAGAGTTGAGTATAGAAACCAAGAGCGTTGACTCCAGGTCGCCTGTTCTACAGGTTCTCAAACCATGGTCTGTGCAGCACATGCCAGAGAGCTGGCAAGTCACATGTTGCTGGCTCCACCTCCTTGGGTCAACAGGGTCTAACTATCATTAGAAGAAGAGCATGGAAATGGTTGGAAACAAGAAAGAACTGTCAGCCTACCTGCATCTACTATAGCTACTGCTAGATAACAGGAGGAGAAGATGGAACCAGAGCAGCTCCCAGGGACTGGAGCCAACCGCAGAATGACTACAAATAACTAAACATTTCCTCATGTTTACAATTGTCGTAGTTGGTAATGGGATGTTGTGCAACAATGAAAGGGAAATAGTTTCCTCTGATCAGTAAAAGAGAGGGGAGGTGCCCAGGAGGCAGTGGTGCCCAGCTCACTCTAGCCACCAGATACACTCATTGAAATGTGTCTGTCTGTCTGTGCATTGCTTGGCTCTAGAAGGTACTTTAGTTTTTTACTTTCATCTGCACTTGAGTTTGCACAAAAGTCCCATAAAATATTAAAGCTAATACACTCCTTGACATTTTCCAACTCCTTGACATTAATTTTTTTCCCCCACTTTGCTGGCTTTGGAAATCTAGGTAAAATACTTGGGACAAGAGCATGGGCTGAATTTTCAGCTACGGCCAACTTCCATAAGACCTTATGCTCCACCACTCACAGTTTCTGATCATGAGATTGGCCAGATTTGGACTGTCTGTAACTTTGAATGGGCCTGCTCCAATTCATGCTAGGGGATAATGGCTCTAAAGAGGCTGTTCCACTGCCCAGCACTCAGAGGGTGGGGGCACAGAGCTGGCTAAGCCGGCTGTATGCCGCATAGGGACTCTCTTCAGCTGCTTTACATGCAGGAGTGGTGCCTGGCAGAGGACGAGGGGAAGGATTTGGCCTTATGAGTTTATCATGAACAACCCTTCATTTAAAAGCCCTTGACCAGACAAACCCGTAGGAGTCTGATGGAACTAAAGAAAACTGGAAATGTTTCTAACACAACAAACTTAACTTATAGAGTTTAGAAATCTAAACTGTTGTCTTCTACTCCCAAAGCTCAATAAAGAAAAAGGGTGAGAAGTGTGTATAAGAGTAAGTCTGGATTCACCTTCCATTTCAAAGTCTTATCTCCGAGGGCTTAAAAACTGGCCGTCAACAATTACTCTAAATTAAAACTGGCGTATTAAGCTATCCATTGAAGAGGAATCTTTTGATCATCAAGATGGCCCCACAAACTACAGTTGTTGTTTTTAAATTAAGAAGCGGCAGTTTATTTTTCCCCATGCAACAAATAAACACCCCAATTTTGTAGGAGCAGTTTAGACAGGTGGTTTGAAAGTTTGGCCTAACATGGTCGAAATACAAAATACAAGGGCGGGCGGAGAGAAGAGGTGCTTTGAAAAGTAGCCATTACAGGAGCGGTAAATACAGTTCTTTCCCTAAAGGCTTTTATTACGCTTACTATGGAGTCTATTCTCCTGCATATTATATACATATAACTCCCATAAGGCTCATTATACCCTGACATTATTGACATGCCTTTTACCAGTATCCACATAACATGCGTTTCCAATTATCTATCTAAATACAGCACCGTACACACACTCTTGGGACAAACAGTTTTTATCTGGGAGACAATGTTTTAAAGGATCTCGAGTTTAAAAATGCTTTACATATCTTCTGTTGTAGCTTGATCTTCTCTTTCCTTTCTTTTTCATCTGTTTTATTCTTCCCCGTTCATATGTTTATTAAATATTACAGCTCCTCTGTATGCTCTGAAATTTCATGTCCATTTCATTAAATGAAAAACACGTGCAAGGCAAGTCTTGGAGAGAGCAAGGATGGTCCAGGGGTTACGGCTCTAACCTAGGACTTGGGAGACCTGCATTCATGTCACCGGTAACAAACTGATAACTTAAACAGTTATAAGTCACCAGGACCAGATGGTATTCACCCAAGAGTTCTGAAGGAACTAAAATATAATATTGCAGAACTGCTGACTGTGGTATGTAACCTGTCACTTATATCAGCCTCTGTACCGGATGACTGGAGGATAGCTAATATGATACCAATTTTTAAACCAGACTCCAGAGGTGATCCTGGCAATTAGAGGCCGGTAAGCATAACTTCAGTACCAGAGAAACTGTTTGAAAGGACAGAATTATCAGACACACAGATGAACATGATTTGTTGGGGAAGAGACTATACATCTTTTGTAAAGGTAAATCATGCCTCGCCAATCTATTAGAATTCTTTGAGAGGGTCAAAAAACTTGTGGACAAGGGGGATCCAGTGGATATAATTACTTGGACTTTCACAAAACCTTTGACAAGGTCCCTCACCAAAGGCTTTTAAGCAAAGTAAGCTGTCCTGGGATAAGAGGGGATTAGGGATAGGGAACAGCTTCTATATGAGGAGACATTAAAAAGACTGGGACTTTTCAGCTTGGAAAAGAGACAACTAAGGGGGGATGTGATAGAGGTCTATAAAATCATGAATGGTGTGAAGAAAGAGAATAAGGAAGTATTATTTATCCCTGCATATAACACAAGAACCAGGGGTCACGCAATGAAATTAATGGGCAGCAGGTTTAAAACAAACAAAAGAAAGAACTACTTCACACAATGCACAGTCACTAGGAACTCACTGGCAGAGGATGTTGTGAAGGCCAAAAGCACAACTGGATTCAAAAAAGAATTAGATAAGTTGATGGCGGACAGGTCCATCAATGGCTATTAGCCAAGATGATCAGGGATGCAACCCCATGCTCTGGGTCTCCTAAGTCTCCAGCTGCCAGAAGCTGGGAATGGACGACAAGGGATGGATCACTTGATGATTACCTGTTCTGTTCATTCCCTCTGGGGCACTTGGCAGTGGCCACTGTCAGAAGACAGGATACTGGACTAGATGGACCATTGGTCTGACCTAGTATGATTGTTCTCATGTTATGTCCCTGCTCTGCTACAGACTTCCTGTGTGATCTTGGTGCCTCAGTTTGCCATCTGGGAAATGGGGATAATAGCCCTACATTAAATACATTAAAGATTGTGAGTTGCTCAGATACAACAGGGATGGGGGCCATAAAGTACTTTAGAAAGACAAACACACAGACAGTTACAGCCCTTAATGTGGCCTGCAAGGGAAGTAAGGTGTCCTGCTCAAATTGTGAGCTATGAGTAAGAGGGTGAGGAGGGGCTGAGGAGGCCTGGCCCCACCCAACCTAATTGCTGGCTACAGAAGCTGGACAGACATACAGGGAGGAATAAACTGCTCCACAAAAACAGGTGAAGCAAGTTACTCCTTCTCCCAGAGGAGGCACTGAGTAAAGGAGAAATTGTTGCTCACTGAGTCACAATTCACCTCTGGTTTGCTGCCCCTTCCTTAGGACAGGCTGTCAAGTTACAATCTAATTTTTGGTAGTGCATTGAGAGATATGGGAAACAAAGCTAAAATTCTGTCTGAAGACGGTAGATGCTAGCAAATGTTATAAAAATCAAATTAAAAGCTGATGCTCAAATCAGGTTCTGCAGATTCCCATGCAAATAGCTTTTACGCCTTTGGACCTAAATGGAATGGCTAACGGTTTGCTGGTCTGGGACTTCAGCTCAGAACAGAGCCTCCGGTGCTATTTTTGCACATACAGCGAGGTGCAAACTGCCCCATCCTGTGGTAATACAGTCCGTGGCACCTCAGTGGAGGCCCGCTCTGATCACATTAAAGAATGATGCTATAAATTCACTGCAGGGCAGCCAGTGTTTCTTTAAACTGGTAATTCCTGAACAGCTGAGTGCTTCCTACCTCAGAACACAAGTTATCTTACAGTCTCTCTCCTTACAGCTGCATAGGCTGTAACATAAATATATACAGTAACTCCTCACTTAAAGTCGTCCCGGTTAACACTGTTTCGTTGTTAATCAATTAGGGAACATGCTCGTTTAAAGTTGTGCAATGTTCCCTTCTAACGTCGTTTGGCAGCCGCCTGCTTTGTCCACTGCTTGCAGGAAGAGCAGCCCGTTCCAGCTAGCTGGTGGGGGCTTGGAACCAGAGTGGACCGGCAGCCCCCCATCAGCTCCCCGCTTCCCTGAGTTCCCTGTGCAGCAGCTGCCCAGCAAGCTATCAATTGCAGCTGTCCCTCCCCACACTGCCATGTGCTGCTCCTGCCCTCTGCCTTGGAGCTGCTCCCCGAGACTCCTGCTTGCTGTGCAGGGGCGAGGGGAGGAAGAGGGGGGCTAATGTCAGGGTGTCCCCCTCCCCCCTGTTCCTGCACCCCGCTTACCCCATCTTCCATAGAGCAGGGGGGACACACGACAGGGCTCAGGACAGAGGGAGCTTGCTGGCAGCAGCTGCGGTCTCAGCAAGCTGCTGATCTAATTAATAAGGCAGTGTATTTAAAGGGGAAATGCGCATCTCTCTCTCTCACACACAGAGAGATTGTGTCTCTGTCTGTGATGCTGTCTCCCCTCCCTCCATTCCTGCTGCCTTGTAGAATGTGAGAGTTAACGCTTGAGGGCTCAGCCAATTGCTAGTTCATCATTTAGCAGTAAGGCATTCCCTGAGAAATATCCCACCCTCTGACTCCTCCTCCTCAACCAAGCTTCACAATCATCATCACTGTGTACCAGTATTAACTTGTTTGTTTAAAACTTATACTGTGAGTGTGTGTGTGTGTGTATATATATATATAAAATATAGTATTTTGTCTGGTGAAAAAAAATTCCCTGGAGCCTAACCCCCTCATTTACATTAATTCTTATGGGGAAATTGGATTCGCTTAACATCGTTTCGCTTAAAGTCGCATTTTTCAGGAACATAACTACAACGTTAAGTGAGGAGTTACTGTATTTGGATACACGTATGTGCCCTAGCATACAAATATATAAAACTCATGAAATATGTGAAATAGGCAGAGAGGTGCAGAGGGGCTTCTAAAGGGTGATGCAATTTCATACGTTTCGATTGTTTCATTCAATAAGCAAAATGAGCAAAATGAATATTGTAAATTACATTAAAATATTAGCCTGGCAGAGGGGCTTGGATCAGTACATCAACACAGGTAATAAACTGATCAAATGGTTCTTCTGAGACCACCTTAGGCTTGCACAGTCCATCTGCAATCACATACCATGGATACAACATGATGCCTACTGATCTATCTAGGGAAATATTTTGTTAGTGGGATTACATTTCAGGTTCATGTGTGTAAAATGGTATATTTAATACTGAAATATTACTTGCTTCAACTCTAGCAACACCTGGGATCACACCCAAGCTTCAATCTTATCCTGCATAAGGTGATGTTGTAGTAATACATTAAAATGTATAAAATTCACTTAACTAAGCTATGCAAAGTTTCACACTGACTGCCTGGACTAAAAATATATATGATTGCCTTATACTATTCAACAGTTACATTTATCGCATGACAGGAAAGTTGGTCTTTATTTTTTTAATCTCTTTGATTTTATAAAACAAGTGGGACTTAAATGAGGATTCTCATCCAAAATGGCCTAATCTTGGTTAACCTTATTACTTTTCACTGATAGATGTTACACAAGAGAAAGGAACGCGTGATGCGGTTCTCTGCATGTGTAATCATTCCTAGGGAAAAAGCAATTGAATGACATCTCATTTTGCTCCAACAGCTTAAAATCAGGAAGCATACATCTGAAAGAATTTACTTTTAGAATGGCTGACCCCTCTAAATCAATGGATAAATTGCTTCATTTGAAACAACAAAATAAATAACACCCCTATTATATCAACGTATTATAACTAAAAGCTTGGGAGAGGATGGTAGACATGCAGTTTGTTCAACTAAATTGATTATTCAGTGAAGAAGGACCCTGTGTTATGATTATGAAGCATTTCCATCCCCCGAGTTATTATAAACTTATAAGCTTCCAAAATTAAGATGGTCATTTAAACATTAAAGACCATACTGTGCTATCAATTTTTAAGTAGATATCCGTGGTGGTGGTAAAAGCTTATTTCCAAATCAATGGTACAATAAGCCCTAAATATATCTTTTGGCCTCAAGAGAGTTTCACATAAAGCCCTAAAATTGGTAGCATCAATATTGTTCCATTTTCTACCCTCATTTAGGGCTCGATTCTGTGAAGTGTTGAGCCCTCTGGCTCTGATCCAGCAAAGCACCTAAGCATGTGCTTAAAACTTAGTATAGTCTCCAGCGGCGGCTCTAGGCACCAGCGCTCCAAGCGCGTGCCCGGGGCGGCAAGTCGCGGGGGGCGCCCTGCTGGTCCCTGTGAGGGCGACAGTCAGGCTGCCTTCGGCGGCTTGCCTGTGGGAGGTCCGCCGGTCCTGCAGATTCAGTGGCGGGTACGCCGAAGCCGTGGGACCTGCGGACCTCCCGCAGGCATGCCGCCGAAGGCAGCCTGCCTGCCGTGCTTGGGGCATCAAAAAAGCTAGAGCTGCCCCTGATAGTCTCAATGACTTCATGTGCATGAAAATAAGCAAACGTTTCAGTGCTTTGTTGGATTGGGCCAAAGTGCTCTGCACACTGAGGGATCAATCCATTATCACCTTCTTTGAAATATCTCACCAGATTTAACTTAATTGAAAGCAATACTCAAATCTTCTGAATAACAGTCTCACATTTAGAGACCTCTGTCCAGTCTATCAACCTTAGATACGCATATGACCGGCATTACCATAGTGTTTGAGTGGCTCACAGTCTTTAATGCATTTATCCTCACAACACCCATTTTACAGATAGCATCAATTTTTCAAAGGTGCCTAAGAGATTTAGGAGCCAAATCCCATTTTCACAAGTGGCTTAGGAGTCTAAGTCTCAAATGGGCTAAAGATGCTTTGAAAAAATTGGCCTAAGTGAATTGCCCAAGATGGCACAATGTCCATGGCGGAACAGCGAAATGAATCCAAATCTCCATATCAGACCCTAATCACTGGAACATGCTTTCTCTCTATTTTAGGTTTTTTTAAGCATCTGTCACCATAGTATCCAAGCCCCTGTTGGTAATGTTAACTAAATATGTGATCCATTGGAATGATAGGCACCATATGAATGTGGGATTATCATTTGAGTATTGTTGCCTGACACTTCCCATCATAAGATCCTATTTTCAGTTTCTTACAACTTTACCAAACTTTAATTATTCAGGATGAAGTTTTATTTATGAGTGTCTGCTTCAGGTTGAATTTTTTGGGGAAACTTCATCCAAAATGGTTCAGCCATTTCCAAGAATGAGATTAGGAAAAATACATCATTTTTGTCCATGTTAAAAAACTCTTATTTGGAAACCACTAGCACCCTCATATTTGAAAGTTCAAGCAATGGCAGTACATGGAAAAGATACAATCAGTCACATTGTCTTCATTCAGTGCCTTCGGGATCCCAGCAGAAGTATTATACATGGAGGTTGTTGGAACTGTTTATCCTTCTCTTTTAACCCGCTCAACAGAAATTTGGCCTTCCACAGAACTACTTTTTAGGCTGTTCAGCAGAGTAAAGTCATAGAGACTTAATTCAATATAATAGGAGTCTCCACCTACCTCCAGCCGTCTAGAACAACAATCATAACTCACAGATTCGATAAGCCACCTCATTCAAACAGAGAACCTTTTATTAAAAAAAATTTTTTTTGTTTTTGAAATTCAGCGGTATGAAGGCACATTTTCCAATCACACAGATGCAGAGGAAAAACAGCCTTTTCAACAAGTGTGGTTTAGAATACACAATCATCTGAATGGCCAGGTCTTACATCTCAAGTAGATCGACTCTTGCGCCTAGACACATACAATGGTCATATAAGATACAGCACCCAATGGTCCGTATTCAAAGAACACTACTACTGCAATGCATATTAAGCTGCTTTTTTGTTTGTTGTTTTTGTTGAAATTGCTGCTTTTCCCTGTTACCATGAAACAGATCAATCTTCATCTTCTCAATTCACAGCTGAAATGAGAACAACATTCCCCAAAGCAAGAGCCAATGAGAAAACATATAATCAAGAAAATAAGTGCGGGAAAGATAACATTTCAATTACCTTCAGAATTATACAGGGATTTGCTCTGGTGTACATTATAATCCCATTGCTTTGCAAGGTTCGCAGACGCAGAGCCAGCTTGAATTCTTCTTTCTTGCTATTTTCAGAAACCCGGTATTTGATGTAACTATTCCCAGCAAAGCTAAGGGAAGTGTGCCCTGAAATAACCGTTTTGAAAAGATACATATTGCAAATGAAGTTAATAACAGAACATAGGTAGATAACAAAGAAGAAACTCTTAAATAAAACCCACCTTTGACTGATTAAAAACGTGTCTCCATTGCAAACCACACACCATAGATTTGGGGAGAATAATTTCATATCAGGGGGAAAATCAGAATCAGAATTTGCTGGTGAATCTGCACCCTCTGTTAGCATCAGGATATTTCTGACTCTGAGTCCTACTGAAAGCCCATTGAAGTCAATGGAAATAATCTGCTTGACTTTGCGTCAGGACCCTAGTGCCTTGGTGGTTAACATAAGCTGACCAAAACGTACAAAGTTCCTGAAACGTTCTTTTCAAGACAGCATGGTATTTTTATCACAAAAATTACAAACTTAATGAATGTTAATAACAAATAAAACCTTGAATTAATAGCATATGTCTCCTAAAGGATCCCAAAGTGCTTTGCCACTAGCAGGGCAATATCCAGTGATAGCAGTTCTCTAGAAAGAACTGTCTGCTCAAAAGTCCCATGTTTTACTGATTTGGGGTCCCATCCTGATCAGATTCAGGTCAATGGGAGTTTTGTTTGTAGAGGCAGAATCAGGTGTATATATACAGCACCAGGTCTGCACAACCCGCATTTTTTACAACACTCTTAAGTAAACGGAGTGAGACCAGATTCTGAGAGGTATTGTGCATACACAACTCCCATTGACTTCAATAGCAACTCTCCGTATTATGATACAACGGCAGCACTTCTTATATAAAAATCACACTTTTAAGTATTTCCTGGTTACTCTTTTGACGGAATCTGCACCTGAACATTCTCCGAGCTTCCCTGGAGGGCACTGGCAGATGAATGGTCTTCGACTAGCTTCGTACCCCACACACTGCATGTCCCTTGGACACGGCTTCTCCATACAGGGATCGCTGGACCCAGGACACAGCCCTCCTGTGATCAATTGAAACATGCTGTTAAGAATATAATATCAAACATACACCTTGGCAACAGGAAGCAGAAAGAGACTTGAAAACTGTAACAGAATTTAACTCTAGATTGTAAACTCTTTGGGGCGGGGATGTCTTTTAAATAAGTGTGCGTATCGCGCTTAGCGTAATGGGGTGCTGGTCCTTGACTGGGTGCGTAGGTGCTGCCATAAGACAAATCAATCAATACATATAATAATAAACAATTATGACCAATTCACTGGTGTCATGATGGCTTTGCCAGTGTTTCGTCCCAAACCCCCTCTCTGGAGGGGGATCTAGAGCTGACCCATGAAATACATTACTAGGGGCTACATCCTTCTTCTGCCTTGCCTCAAGTCTGGAGAATTCTGTGCGGGCAGGAAGGATAGCCGCGCCCAGGCTGCACAGTTGTAAGGAGAGCTCCTTGTGCAGGTGGTACTGCAGTATCCTCACGCTCCACAGTGGCATGCTGATCCTTCCAGAAGAGGAAAGCAACCCCATAAAGCTGGATTCTGGATACACTGCTAGGCGCCACAAATCCTGCACCCTCCCTTCCAAATGTGGCTGCATACATTCCACTGCATCTGGGATCCTGGACAAAAAAGGAGGAGTGGACAGGATTTTTCTGTCTTTGAAGCTAAGTAGGAATCAGGGTGGCGACATTTAAAAAGTAATCAGATGGGTTATTTTAAATTATATATTTTTAAGACAGGAGAAGTTTAACACTCTAAATAGCTAGCTTCACTTTACAGACTTAAATTGGGCAAAATAATCCTTAAAATACTCAAACTGTATTTAGTGGCATATGTAAATGGGTTAAAATTACTTAAACTTTGAAAAGTCATGACAGCTGAGGCACCGTCAGTACTTTCATAAGGATTTTGATTAGGTTTGCCAACATGGGACACAATTTTGGTCTGACCTATATCCATGAAGATCTCCTGCTGACTTCAAGGGGTAGTCTGGAGGCAGAATTGAGTCCCTAAAGTCTAAACCTTGCTTAAAATCTTTCCTTACAACACAGGCACTGCAAGCACTTCAAAAATTCCCTAAATATGTAACACCCAACAAACTCAGATGGCTGCTAAAGGCTTGATTTAAAGCTAATGGAAGTCAATGGAAAGTTCCCATTGAATTTAATGGATTCTGGATCAGGACCTTATTTTGCCATTTTAAAAGCCCTTAAATACATATATATTTAAATTAGCTTAGTCTGGAAAGGCATGTAAACACTGTAAACCACAATGCAAATGATCACACAGCCTCTGAGGGAGCCACTGAAGCTCATCATATCAATCCTCAAATGCTTCTAGAAAGAGACACTTTCTTTTTAGCCACCACAAAGAAATGCAAAGGAAATTAACATGCAGTGGGCCAAGTTCTGCCCTTGGATGAGTTTGTGGGACTTCTAGTGAAATGCATGTGGTTGTACACGCCTGCCTATGCTTGGGATTTATTTGCTTCTGTTGATTTGTATCTAGGGCTTAAACAGAGAGAGGGCCAGTGGTGGGGGATGGATAGGGTTAGCACTTCCTCGTCTGTCAAACTTAAATTAATACATCTCGGAGCAGATTTAAGGACAGGAGAGTGCTCCCTTATTGAATATTTGCTGTTCCTGCTTTGTGTCACAATCTTAATGTCATTTGAATGTGGGTTTTGGGGTTTTTTTAGTGTATGTATTTTATTTATAGTGCATAAAGTAATGAACTTGTAATAGGGCAATCCCCTCCCACTCCTTACAGTTATGAAAGAGACTACGTTACTGCTAACACACTTTTGTACAAGCCAAGCATGGCTCAGACTAAGCATAGCTCAAGTTACCTGGCACGGTAGGTATGTTCTGGAAACAGAAAACTTATTACTGTAGGTTTCAAAGTGGAGATGATCTGCCTACAACTATGGCAGAGACTATCAATGTCTACACTTGACGAGCAACACAGTCAGTTTAATCTTTTAACACCTCCCCTCCTTTGTCAAACATTTGTTTGAGACGTCTGTGAAGTAAATGAGCACTGATGTGAAATGATGCATGGCAATCTTTATTAATCAGTGTAATAGGGTATATTAACATGCATAATAATCAAGAAGAGCTCTGTGTAAGCACAAAAGCATGTCTCTTTCACCATCAGAAATTGGTCCAATAAAAGATCTTATTTCGCCCACCTTGCCTCTCATGCATAACACTACTAATATAATATCACATTTCAACTCCTATAGATACTAATAGGGATTAAATCAACAGGCTTCTATGGAAATTTAATTTAATAGGGTTCTAAAGAAAATATTCTAAAAATACAGAATTTAACTGAGAATGAGATATTTTCCATAGATGTTTTTGTTTGTTTGTTTTCTTTTTAAACAACAACTATCCTATAGAATTCTATATTAAGGACATAATTCTCTAGAGAATGGTACAAATATTCCACAGAAAGGTTATAATTTACTGTTCAATTCCATCAGCTATTTCAATACATTCTTATTAGGTGTATGCTCTATATGCACGGTATATCTGTTCTTTGAAGATACTTAAACCTTATGTAAGGCAGTAATTTAAGTGAGCCTCTCTGTAGCTGACAAATAGACAAGTCACTTGGGCAAAAGCCCCAGAACTTGTGAATATGCTGAACTGCTGAGATTTCAGAATGTGGCATTGCACATTTTCACAACCCTTTAACCTTTTATTAAAATCTCTGACATTAAGCAATAAATCAATACTTGGCTTCTCTATCAGTCTCTGCCACTTTTTAGCTGATTCTAACTCTTGATTTGTAGTTCAGATTCATCATTCCACGGTCCAAAAGTATATGGAAAGAATCTAATATATTTATTATCACTATGAAGATGTAAGCTTACCCTGGCAGACTATGAATGTTTTTTTTAGATAAACTACAAGCAAATTAACTTTTTATTCATCCTGTGGATTTCACAGCTGTGACAGAAGTTTTAAAATATTCAAACCTGGGAGAAGAAATGTTTTATGCCTCTCTGTATGGTTATAAATGCATAAGCTACAAATCATGCACTACTGTATTGCATTGTTTTAGCTAATGTGCATGTTCAGGCTGATTTCATAACCACACTGAGTAAACTTGTAAAATATTATCCACAGCCAGAGTTGAAACACAATAATTTAGTTGTCACATTTCCACTCTGAAGTCCAGCATTTTTACCATTCTTTGTTCTTTCCGAAAGAGATTCAACAATATGGACTAGGATTGATTTTCTTTCCCCTAGACAAGTCCTGAAAATCCATGGCATTCCCATGTAACTCACATTACTATTAATAAATCTGTTTCCAAGAAGGAATTGCACACAAACATGGAGTTAGGGTCAACCAGTAACTGACAGGAAATTTTGGGAGGGGGTTTGACAGATGATCTCTGTTTATTGCTCTAGGAAGAGGCAGAGCTACTCCAAGGTCCCTGCCAGTATGATGAAGAGGAAAATACTTTCTCATTTCTAACTGTGGCAATTGCTTATATGTACAGGGATGAAGTAAGAATCACCCAGAACCATGTAATCCCATTTGCAGTGTTGCCAAGTCTCGGTGTTTTGTGTTTTTCTGAAAGCCCCAGCTCCTGGATACATGTGATTACCTAAAAAAAGTCTCAGATTTCATTTTAAAAAATAAATGTTAAATTCTCTTGGTTGCAGAGAAAAATTTGAAAGTGACTCCTAAAGGCTACAAATACCAAGGCAAATAAAAAGAACCCCAAACTTATTATTGTAAAACCCCTCAATTTTTAAGACAATCTCATGATTTTTTTTGGGTGGGGGGCGGGGGGGGTCTGACTCATAATTTTTGAATGCTTGGGTTGGCAATACTGCAGTTGTACTCTTGGATTAGGGTGACCAGGCATCTTCATCTGTTCTAATATAACTGGGAATTTGTCCCAGGTTTTAGTGGAACTGGCTGGGATATCTGACCACCTCTGCTGGCTCCAAATTCTTCGCAGCTCCTTCCAGTCTGTAGCAATTCCCACTCTGCCTGTCTCTACTTGCCTCACACACCTTTGGGCCTCATTCTTCATGTTTTATACCAGTTCTCTGCAACATCCCCTACCTCAATGCTCTGACTATCAACAGCAGTTCTCCTCATTGATACCCATTATGTGGTACCATAAGGGAACCCCATCTCCTACACAACCCAGTGACAATTCCTTTCTTCCTCTTAAAAATCACACCCCTTTCACTCCAGGGCCAAGTCTCTCTCAAACCATACCTCTTCTAAAATCTGAGCCACGTGGAAAATGCTGATATCTTGTGGGGCACAGAATTCCAAAGGCTGATTATCCTGGGGGGGTGGGGGGAAGGGGGAGTCTCACCTTGCATGTAATCTATACTTTAGCGGTTCAAAAGCACTGTGCTTCAAAGAGAATGGACTACAGTCAACTTTTTCCAACCTTGGGTGATGCACTGGCTTCAAAGGCAGCATACATTTTGTAGGGGAGAGATCTTGGTATTAATGCAAACATGATATTAATTATATTATAACAACTTATTTTTATTAGGTCATTACAAACTTTAATGGAGGATAGGTCCATCAATGGCTATTAGTCAGGATGGACAGGGATGGTGTCCCTAGCTTCTGTTTGCCAGAAGCCGGGAATGGGCGATGGGGTGGATCACTTGATAACCTGTTCTGTTCATTCCCTCTGGGGCACCTGGCATTGGTCACTGTCAGAAGACAGGATACTGGGCTAGATGGACCTTTGGTCTGACCCAGTACGGCCGTTCTTATGTTCTTAAACTTGTTTACGCATTTATTGAACATTAAGATATAGTTACAAGAACGTTATAGCCAGGATGCTTGGAAATATAACAATACACATGTTTAGCTAGTTATGTTACAAAATGTTAAAGCTAATCAAAGAAATTCAGGAAGATTTCTACTCCTATCTCCCAAGGACAAGCAAACATCAAGATGACAAACCATGTAAAACATTCATGTTTTCGGAAGAAACCTGAATATGATTGGAACGT